GCCGCTCTGAGGAGCCCCGGGGTGGCTCTGCCGAAGTCCTCAGCGGGAGCGGCCGTGCCGGGCTGCGCCCGGGCTCCGCTCCGCCCGGCGCCCGGGGTTGTCTCCTCAGGGGAGCGGCGCCGCCGCCGTCCCGCCGCCTGCCCCAGCGGCCGTCGCGCCTTGAGGAGGAGCCGTTGCCCGTCCCGCCGCGCCGCTTTGCCCCGCGCCCGCCGACCCCTCGCCTGGGAGCCCGCCAGGTAACCCCCGCCCCGCCCTGGCGCAGCCGGGGGTAGCCGGGAGAGCCTCCTGCGGTTTCCCTTCCGCTCTCCAGCGCCTCTGACCGGGGAGGGGTGCCTGGCAGCTGCGGGGGGGGCTTCTCCGTCGGCGAGGATTGGGGTGACTGGCGGAGGTCCCCGCTGCTGAGGGCGGGTCCCAGCAGGACGGTATTGCGTGAGGAGGCTGCTTCCACTTGTAGGATCTTGCCCCAAAAACTGGGATCGGTTTTTACTTTTTTATTTAAATGCCTTATTTTAATTTTTATTTTGGCTACTAGGTGGGCAAACTACCATCCCAGTTGCTGTTATTTCTCTCCCCCACCTCATTCTGCACCATCACTTCGCTGCGTTTAAGGGTTCTGCGTGAAACCTCATGCCCATCCCACCATCTTTACCTTCCTGCAGGTTATGCACGTGCAAGGGCATAGTGATTCTTCATTTTTAGATTGATCTTTTTGCTTTAAATAAAAAAACCCAAAAACCTACGGTGCATTTCTGTAATGTAGACCGACTTCCTGCATAATGATTTAACTTTTTCTTTAAGTCATGCCAGTTTTATGGAATATTAAAGTATTGGGAGTCCTTTACACCACTTAATTTAGAATTCTAAGTATTAATAAAAAATTCCTATTGTTGCGTATCTTTCTGTATTATGCATGTCAAATGAGTTGGTCAGAATTAAATAATGCTGAAACTCTTTTCCTCTGGTTTCCGTAGTGGAGGAAAGGGTTAACTTGAGCTTTACTTGCAGTAACAAACTGGAGAGAATCTGAAGTTCCCTTCTCTCTCTTAACTATGTGATTTATTACAGGCTTTATGTTGCTGCTCTGATGGAGTGCGCCATTCTTGCATGAGACAGAATCTTGCGTGTGTCTTTAACTATACTTCTGACAGGATTTCCTAAAGGACAAAAAGGCAAATGTTAAATATCATGTATAAAGCCACAAAGAGGAGTCCCGTGCTCTTCCCAGAATAGAGATAAAAAGACTTAACTTCTGTATGCTTGTAATTAAGTATGTGCCTTCATTTATCGTTGCAGTAATAAGTATATATAAGACTGTGTTTTAATGTACAGAATAAGCAAATAAAAAGGTGTTTGAGAGACAAAAGTTTCATCCTCTCTGAACGCGTCATTACATTTTAAAGTACCTGTCATCCCTTCGTGGTTGGGTTGCTTCACGGTCCTAACGTGTATGTAAACTTGTTACTAGCAAAGGACTCACATTTTTTTCCTTTAAATTATAGACTAACTATTGCACAATAGCTGCTTTTCTTTCTTTGATTAATCAGTACAATCATGCTGTAGAACTAGTCCTTAAAATGGTGATTTATGGAATATTGATATTGCTAGTAATTCTACTTTCATTAAGGGTATTTAATGGTGCGAGATCAGAGGTTTCTAATATCCATCATTTACTAATCTCATTCAAACATATTTTTAAACCAGCTGCTACGTGCGTACAAGGTAGCAGAAGAAGTTGGCTTCTTATTTTATAACCACTCAGGTTTGCCACTGGTGCTGACCTGTTCTGGCCTGGTTATTTCTTTTCATAACAGCAGATATAGTAGATATTCAGTGGTTTAAATATAATTGATACTGACATCTGTCTGTGTGCTGACAGTGGGAAGTTTCCACCATAGAACAACCACAGTGACACCGCTTGATAATACTGTCAGGTTGGGGGCTAAGGACTCGATGACTGTAGGGACTGATCTACCTTTACCTCATAGTGGCATCTATCTTAGTTGGAAAGTTTGGGCTCATGTTGTCTGTGAAGGACCTTTGTCCTTTAAAAATGGCCATTTGGCACGCTTTGCAATAGATTTCATTTAGATAGAATTGCTAAAATGGTATGACTTTTTCTATTGGACTTTTCTTCTGTGTTTTGCTTGTGGCTTTTTTTTTTTTTTTTAAATATCTCATGAATATATGAAACCTAAGAATTATCTTAGTGGGTTCTGGGTTTTTTCTTTCTGATGGTTTCATTCGGCTAATCTTTTGAGAAGATGAAAGCTTACAGTTACCTGCTATTGTGATTTCTGTTTCTACCAACAAAACAAAAAAAGTGCTGGAATAGCTTCTTCTAGAGTCAGAAACAAAATCAGTGCTACTTTGTGTATTTTAAGCAACTTTTCTTTTAGGAAGAACATGATGCAAAAGAAACATTTGTGTAGTATACTTTTAGTAACAACTGATCAGTTAAATCTGCTACCATGTAAGTGTATTTTCTCTGAAATTCTCTATAATCCTTGCTTTACAAGTCAAAATTCTGTATGTAACTTTTAAGTTCTGTTATTCACGTGATCTGTTTAAGATACTTTGAAAGAGGTCCAGAGTGCTTTCCAAATGTGAGCCCTTACTAAGCTCTTTGGCTGTGCATTACTTGAATATGAAAGTCTCAATTAATGCCTGCAGTTTTTTCCCAGCGTATGCTAAAACAGTACTTTGAACTTTTACTGTGTTCCCTGGTGCTATACAGAAAATTCATTTGGAAAAAGAAAAAAAAGACAACTAAATGTAACACTTTTTCCAAATTAGGAGAACTGCATTTTTTTTAAGATGTTCACTGCTGTCCTTATATGCTTTGTTCTGGTGTTCAGATTGAAGCTGAAGGAACAAGGTTTTTTGGCCCTGATAATCCCAGCTAATCAGGAGTTATGAGTGCCTTGGGACAACTCAAAAGTCAGGTCTTCAGGATGAGACCTGAAAGACATCCAGGTGTCATGTTTCCTGGCTCCAAATTATTATTGATGGCCCTTAGCAGGCTGCCCTGGGTTGGCTTCTATATAATTGAAGTCGGGTGTGCAAAACAAGTAAGCAGAGCAAGAGGAGACCAAATTTGAGCAGTAAAAAGTTTGGGGAAACAGATTAGTGTATTTGAATGTAAGTAAATTTAAATTAAAATGTCCCTTTGTAGCTTAGGCTGTTTATTCTGAGATTGTGGGTGGCTTTTTCTTGTGGAGGCCTCAGTGGTTGTGAATCCCTCCTCGAAACAGACAACTTAAAGGAATGGTGGGTAGTGTCTGCTGCTGTTGAGTTGGTTGTGGTGTGTTTTGCACATCTGCTTCTCCCCCCAGGGTTTTGAGGATGCAGATATGAATACATAAATTTTGTCAAATAAAGCATTAGTACTTGACTGTAATGCTGTGGTAAATATTTCCCGTAGTAATTTATGGAGTGCTGCAGTTAACATAGATCAAGCTTTAGCAAACTATGCAGTGAGACTTGCTAATAACATTTTCTCTTCTAGGCTTAAGTAGCCAAAGATGAGTCGTGGATTTTCAGAAAACAATAACTTTCCGTATGACAACAATCAAATGGTTTTGGATATGATCCTGTGTTCCCTAATTGGTGTTCCTCAGCCTATCAACTGGGACAGTGTGGCAAGGCTAGTTCCAGGATATACATCCAAAGAGGTGAATTTACTCACAAAAGAATTTGTATACTTTAACCAGTACTTTATGAAGAAGAAAACATCTTTGGGGGAGGGAGGTAAATTGAAGTTAAGGTCTGGGGTTTTTTTTCCCTGAAGTAATTTATACCTAAAGAATCAAATATGTTAAATAAGCAGTAGATTGAAAAAAAAATTGTTTCTACAAAACCTAAACATTGAAATTAAGAAATATATTCTGCATTTTATTTCATTAGAACTGATATAGAAAAAGAACAAAAATTACTGGAAAGTAAAAATTAAAAAGTGGAATTAAAAAAAAGTAGCTATGTAATTGAAATATGTTAGCACAACTAAGATTTTCATGGAAAGGATGGCAGTACCCACTAACCTCATGTAGATTGTAGTATACTTCCTAGCAAACCTGATAACTTTCTGTTTGTCATTACAATTCTAAGGAAGTAGGAGTTACAGATCTCCATTAGGTAGTTAAGAGTGCAGTTGCCTCTTGCTTGGTCCTACAAGATCTGGATTTTTCTTTCTTTGTTTGGAATAGAGTTGGAAGAAACTAGTACCTCCATATACTTAATCTTTCTGGATTGCTGCATTTCTTGGTGAAATGCTTACTTGGGGGTGTCGGGGTTTTTTTGTTTGTTTGTTTGTTTTTTCATTTTTTAATTTCTGAGGGGAAGTAAGCCAAGAGAGGAAAATGTCTTTTGCCCTTGTGATTCAGCAAAGCTGGGAGAAAACAAGCCACTGGTCCTTATTTTTTGGCAAACTTAATCAAATGTGTCAGCTCACATTTATAGCATTGCTATTGGGCATCACTGTAACCTTGTATTTAGAACATAAAAATGAATGTTTGGTGGGAGTAGAAGCTTCTGTGGAATGTTACTGCCTTTCAAGTGCTTGGCAAAGCGCTTGGGGGGAGCGGGTGTCCCTACTGTTTACTTTTCAGTTTGCAGACAGTACTGTGCACATATAGCAAATAAAATAATTATAAAAGTATTGGTGAGCTCTCTCATATTAGCTAAGATTATATGATTGATTAGTACATGTCTGGTTACTCTGTTTTAAAAGAACGAAATAAATGTATATCTGTGCTTTTATGTATCTGTTGTATATAGTAGACTGTCATCATTACAAAATTGAGACACTACATTAATATAAGAAGGATGTCACTGTGTGCACTTCTCCTAAAGGGGCAGGAGGCATGCAGTAATGTTGGTTAGCTCAACCCAAAAGAAATAAATAAAACAGCTGCTTGAGTGGAGCCTGACAAGATGTATCACAGGAGGATCACCTGTAGAATTCAGTAGATTTTCTTGTATGTGTCAATTACCTGTGCATAGGATGCTGCTGAACCAAACCCATTATTATCATTGTATCGGTACAAATTTACAAAACGAAAAAACTTTCTAGTTCATCAAAACAAGGAATAGGAAGTGAATAGAACTGCAGTGGAAATCACCAGTCCCTTTTGTCCAAATCAGAATGGAAGTCATAAAGTAAAAGAATAATAATTATGAACCAATTACTATGGCTACTTTTAATAATGTTTGACAGTGTGTATGGTAAAAGAACTAGTTACAAAATGAGAATTTAAACTCTCCCCGTAACTTTCCCTTTTGAAGATTGAGCTTAAAATCACAGGATTTAAGGAAATAAAGGTTGAAACAGGTTCTATCTTATTTCTTCTCTTTCTGTTAGAGTATTTAATTATGGTAAATCTTACATATTTTACTGCATATTTATGTACTTTCCTGATGCCACTGACTAAATAGGAAGCATTGTAAGTTTAGTATCAGTAACTGTTCACATGCAAAAGATATGAAATACAATATCCGTCTCAAATTATAGTTATTAAAAATGTACTGAAAGCTACTGCTTCATTGTCCTATCATTTAATCTTGTGACAGTGTGCAAAAAGGTTTGATGAACTAAAAAGCAGTGGAAGTTCACCTGTTGACAACCAGTATAATCCCCTGATGGCCGCTGGTGGGAGTCCTGTGGAAACTTTAGCTACGTACATCAAATCCTCCTTGCTCGATACACAGACAGAGTTTCAGGAGCCTGCTATTGGGCAGGATTCCATTACTATAACTGGTATGTTTTTAGTCATTCTGAAATATATTGGCTTTGATTATAATCAGTATGTGCATGCTTTTCTGTCCTGAGTGGTAAGTCCACCCAGGAATAGTAGTTGTTCATTTTTGAAAAAGAAACTTAAGTATAAATATAATGCATACATGAAGTCATTTTCAGTTAGCTTAGGTTAAGAATTGATGTTTCTCTGGGTATTTTTAATAGCTTCCTTACGCCAAATCCTACGTTTAGGATTTTTGGTGGGGAGAGGAGTTACTCTCCTGTTTTGTATCCCTGTTGTTGTACTGTTAAACCTACAGCCATTTGCGATCACATTAAGCTGTGTTATTAAAATAACTGGAAACTTTTGTGTAGAAAAGCTGCAGAAGGCTGAGAAGGTGGTCCCTTGAGGTCAGACCCTTCTCTCCCAGCTGAAAGCCCTGTCTTTGTCATACTGCTTGGTGGCAAGATGGCTACATAGGAGTTGGAGTGTAGTGTAGCTACTCTTTGATGCAAGAGAGTCTTGCAATGACATAAAATGTGTCTTAGTCAATTATGTGTCCCAATAATAATTTGGCAGAAGAGGACCAGTCCTAATAGTTGTATTTCAATCACAGCACAATTAAATATTGTTAACATTTCCTTAAGTTCTTCTCCTGTAAGAAGTTGTAATTAGCTGTGTGATAGTTGTTCTCTGATTGCCATTGTAGAGTGAGATGTTTTCAGCGCCTTGTGGGACTTGGTAAATGTGTTGCATGAGAAATTTGCTTTGGTAATGAGTAAACAAGTTCTGTGTTAAAAATTAAGACAACAGTGAAGTGTTTAAACAAAATGTTCTCTGTTAACGATGTTCTTCACAGTGATGCAGCTTTCTACCCACTGTTCCGTTTGTAGAAGAAAGCTGTTTGAGCTTTGCTGGAGAATGAATAAAATGTTTTTATAAGTCTAATCAAGAGAATATATTTGAAAACTGTATATGGAGTATCTAGACTGAAAATGTTTCCAGTCAGCTTTCAGTTATGTACTTGTTACATGCATGATGTGGGATAAATGCTTCTTGCACCCACAGGTGGCTACTTACAAGATTAGTAGCTTCCCACTAGGCAGTTAACAAGCTAACTCTGCTTATAGAACTCTTTAGACAATTAGTGCATGTTTTCTTTTTAACAATATAATACATGTAATAAGTATTAATGCAGTTAAGCACCCTCATGTTTCCTACTACAAGATCCTAGCCTGAGATTTTTTTCTCTGTTTTTGCGACTTTGGATAAATAATTTTCCCTGTTTATATGTAATCTGTTGATATGAAATTAGGATAATTAATCTTTTTCTGACAGGCTTGAATGAACTCACCTTCTTAATATTTGTGAGGTACTTGGAATTGGAGATTTGAGAAAACCCTCTTTGTAAACATGCTTTCTTTTATTAATTACTTCCTAGTGGATTTATTCACATCTGCTTATTGTTAGGATTAAGAATTTTGGGCCTGTTTGGATTTGTTTGTAGACATGAGTAGCAGCAAGAAAAAGCAATCGGACCGAATTCATTTTTAGCTGGATTGTTGTTTTGGCTGAGTTATAAAAGCTTATTTATTACTTGCTAATTATAAGGCAAACTGCTGTGAAGTCCCTTTGAATGCATATTGTGGCAGTAAACAACCATATAGGATAGCCTTTTACCCAAAGTATTTATTACTAACTTTTGGAAGTCAAACAATCTATAATCTTTTTGGGGGAAGAAAGAAGCTAGGAAGAAATGTATGGTGAAGTTCAGACATCCCCGTTAATTTGGCTGTGTTGCATATTCTTGTTGCATTATTTCCTTTAATAAATAACATCACTGTGTTCAAAATAAACTTCTTAATATTTGCAAACAAAACTCTTCCACGTCATTTTTTTCCACAGGCCTTTCCTTTAAAATAGCTTACCGTGCATTCAAAATCTAGGACTCCCACCATGGCTGCTCTAATGCTAGCACAGGTCATCTGCCTGCAGTGGAATGCCTGCCTTGAAGGCTGTGGCTGACCTAGCCCCTTCCAAGGTTTTACTAGGGTCTGTCTAGTAAATCTTCCCCTTTTATTAACTGTGTTCCTCTATTATGGCCTTACTAAGGCTTAACTGTGCAAGGCCTTAGGCTATATCTTTGGAGAAAGTTTTGTTTCTTCTGCCTTTGGTGTGATAACTTTGTTTTCCTGAAGGGCATAACTACTGTACTGTGCTCTGAACTGTATAGAGCTTCCAGATAATTTTTGGTGTCGGTCTGCTATAGTTATTTAGCCGTAAGATGAAGAGGTCTATCTTAGTCTTCTTCAGAAGAGTACAGCCTCTTACATTACACGAGAGGGAGAAGATGCTTCTGGAACTCTTCCTGGAAATCTGAGAGTAGAGAGTAATCATGGAAAATCACGACCTTATGGGTTTTCATCAGTGGAAGACAGATCTGTGCCCTTCCATTATTTAAAAAAGATAATGATCTTTCTGATTTATAAGCAAGATTATTGAAATTTCAGACTGCAGTGATTCATTCATCACAGTCAGAAAAGTTATTCAGTGTCTGAATGCTGGGGTTGTCTTAGCCCTTGACCTAGAACTCGCTGGATTTGGTGACTAGATCTTCTGGACTTCACTGGGTTTTGTGTCCAGGCTGCACTGCTTGCAGTGCGTTTGTAAAGATAACCTATTTGAACTAAAGTGCAGCTGTCCTTTATTCCTGGAATAAGCTACATGGTGTAGCTCTAGGACTAGGCAAATTTCATGGTCTGCTTTCTTTGAGCATTGTTTTATAGAATCCGCTGCTTTAAGCCATGTGTTTGAGAAACATAGCAAAAACGCATCTTGCGAGACTTCTCCACTTCTGTTTGGAAGCAACTTATTTCCAAAGCTAACACATTATGGACAAGAAGTGGAGTTATCCTCAAGTTGTTATATTCTGGCAGGCAGCAAAGCTTCCCAAAAATGGAAGTTTTGATGTGACAGAGCCTTAAGACCCCCATCCCACAAAGCAGAGATGGAGAGCTAAAGGAATGGATTGTATTCCCGGAAGGAAATGCTGAAGACAGCGTGAATCTTACTACTCTATATTGAGACAGGACCAATCTGGGTTTGCAACCAAGTGTCTGGGCAGCCCAGCAATGCTGCTGGTCTGAGTTTCCAGTGCATGGCATTCAGAACAGGAATTTGGATTATCTAGTAGCCCTTAATGGTAGTGGATTTGTTGCTAGTTGTGTAACGTTGCTCCACCATGAAAGCTGTACTTCAGTTGCGTTTCCAAGATGCTGAAGAGCAAAAGTTCAGGCATTTTTATTCTAATGCAGCCTTTTTTCCTTACATTTAAGGAAGGCCCAGCACAGCCTCCACAAGGAATTGCTCTTCAGAATCTGAGAAAGGTCCTGTGCATAAAGGTGGAGAAAGCACTGACAAAAGCCAGGGGTAAGAAGATCTTTGTGTGTGTTTGTTATCTAGGGGATTATAGAACTGATGTCTAAATTGCTCATACTTTTCTGCTATCAGAAATAAAACACCTGGGAACATCCTAATAAATGCTGTGAAAAATTTTGAAACCTTATGTTGCTACAGAAATACTAGGGGTTGGTTTGAGAATTTCTTCCGTGCAACAGGGATAGATTGTTTATAAATATCGCCATGGTGTTCCTCTGAGTGATTGATCACTGCTGTGGCGAGAATGGGAAACATAATCAGATTTTAAAAAGGAATGAAACAAGATTGATGCTCAATAACATTTTAATTAAAAAAAAAATATTTTGTGAACATAGATTTGCCCTGTGTAAAAGCAGGAAAACAAAGCCATAAATGAAAAATGCACATGAAAAATATTACCACGAATTCAAATAGCCATGCATGTCACTGTTTTTCATACTATCACATTCCTGTTTTCCATACTATACAAGTACATGTAGAATAATAGGTTTGTTTGAAACCTAATAACTATCTTTCTGTAGAGACAGCATTTACTGATTCTAGGTTTGACCTTTTCTTAAGAAATAGACATTTTAATGTACAATAAAACAATTTTAATTGCCACAATGAAAATTGCTATTGTATGCTGTTGTTTTCCTGGGTGCCTCAGTAACTTAGGCATGTATATCTGTCTGTTTTTTCAAGAAAATTAAAAAGGGAGAACAAATAAGTTATCTATGTAATTCAGGTAGTATCCCGTAACAAACTGGTGACAAAATTGGGGACTGGAGCTAGAAATTTTCCTTCTCTAGTCCTTTAACTTAATTAAATTGCGCTGATTATGTGTCAGAGGATATGCATCTGTGTTCTTCACCTGACAATGCTGTCTGACAATAGTTCTATTAATAGTTAATAACTGCAATTTGGTTTTGTCCTGTTAATAAAAACCTGTTAGTGACATCAGTGTTGCAACATGTGATCCAGATTTGGAGACAAGATCTTTGCTGATCGGTTTTGGTGTTCTAATTGGCTTACGGACCTAATTTGGTTATGTTGCTTGTTTTCTTTCTAAGGCCAAATATGGTGATCCATGTATGCGATGAAGCAAAAAACCTCAAAGAAGATTTTGTGTGTCCTCGAGACCTTTTGATTTCAGAAATGAAATACTTTGCTGAATATCTGTCAGTGGATGCTCAGCGCTGGGAAGAGGTGGATATTTCAGTGCACTGTGACGTTCACATCTTTGACTGGTTGATAAGATACGTTAAAAGGAACACTAAAGATTCTGAAGCTAATGAAATGCCCACTTTAGGTAAAAGAAAGTGTGTAGATCATTTGTTGTAGGTTCATTATGTTCTGTACTAATGGAAGATTAATATTTTTGCTACAGTTCAGCCCCAGTCTCTTTTGTTTGACTGTTGCACTGAAGCTTGTAATTTGTTAGAAAAGTGTTGCAACAGAGATCCTCTGGTTATTATAGCAGATACCTCTGATTTGACAACACTGACAGTTTTGAAGAAACATCCTGATAGTTGAAGCAGTGGAAAAGATGTAATATATTTGGGAATCTGGTGTTTTTAATTAATATTCTTCAGACCTCTTCTGACCAAGAACAGAGTGGTAGTTTTGAAATACTGATGATTGTTGGGTTTTGTTTTGTTTCCCCTCTACTCGCCATCAGCACAATTGCAGTATTTTCTAAAATTTCAATGCAGTCTGATACAATGGTAGAAGAACTTTTGCCTTTATGAATTTGAGGCAAGTTTTTAATCTTTTTATGAGTCTTTGCTACCATTTTTTTAAAATATAAACAAGCCAAGAGAATAGAGTTATAACTTGCAATGTGAAGGTTATGCTAAGCAGAATCTCAGCTGGGTATGATGGCTACAGATGAAAGTTAATCTTGTGTAATTGTTTACTCATTGTATCCCTATGAAGTCACCTTTTCTAGTTTTTATAAATGCTAGTTTGTTACAGTTGTACTCTGGCCATCTAAATGATAAACCAAAACTTTGTTTCTTAAGATGGAAAATGCTCTACGTATTTGGATGATGGAATGACAGGTTGATTGGTAAAATAATACTTAAAACGGATACTAAATATGCAGAGGGAGGGATGTGATATGAAATTGTCAAAAGAATTCATGTAAAAAAAAATTTTTGTTGTTGCCTTTTAGAACCATCAAATGTCATATCAATTCTTATTTCTTCTGAGTTTTTGAAGATGGATTCATTAGTAAGTATTAAGAACGATTCTCTGCCATAAGGGCATAATTAATTACCAGGTGTCTAACAGCTTGTTTGTTATGCTTTGGCTGCTACGTAAACAGATGATTAAATGAGAACATTTTGAGATTTTTTACCCCCCTTATTCAATGCAGTAATCTAATGTTTGCAGAATATCAATGCAAGAAAACTTAGAGTAAGTTATTTCTAAATGTGATAGTGGGATCTTGGATTTGCCTTCTGGTGACTCATTTAGAGTAACATCAGTATCTGACTTCTGATAGGTTTTATGAAAAAAATATTATTAAATCAGTGAATACCTTTGTTTTATATCCTTTTTACATGAATGACACTTCTGCAATTTAGGATCTGGTTCTCCAGCTCTGTATAACTAACATCTACTGACTTGTTTGTTAAAATGTTTGTTAAAAGTTCTGTCATTGAGGTGACCCACAATTAAACATACAGTAAACATAGCTGTATAAGTTGAGATCCAGGCAATACTATGTATAATGTGTACTGTGGGTCTCTTTTTACAAGCAATTAGAAGGTACCACTTGTTGAAGATGAAACATTTGTGGAGGTTTTTGGTCTGTAGAAACCTTTTGGAGGAGAACATAAAGTAACTCAGAGTCATGCTAATTCCGAGTCTCCTTTGATGTATCTTTGTCTAGAATTCCTTAACATTATTTTTAATGTTTTTATTTTTCCTAGGTAGAAAAATGTATTCATTATTGTCACAAAAATATGAATGCTATTGTAGCCACACCATGTAACATGAATTGTATCAATGCTAATCTTGTTACGCACATTGCTGATCTCTTCACACACAATGAAGTGGAAGAGCTGAAGGACAAAAGAGACAAATTTAAGAGGTAACTTTTTGCCCTGTAATACATTACTGAAGTGCTGTTGGGCTTTTGGATCATTTTTCAGAACAGCTGAGACACTGTGGGGTTTGAAGTGATATATATATCTATATATACATACACAATTTCTATTCTCACATAATGTGTCTTGTATCAGAATATCATGAATTGACCTCAGAATTTTATATTAAAATTATGAGCAAAAGGAAAGAGCTTTTTATAGGAAATGAGCAAAAGGAAAGGCCACAGTAGGTGTGTGGCATGGACAAATTATTCATGAATTCTCACACGGGAGCCAGGATTAGGGTAAGGAACCTTTTATGGGATGACATGCTTCTAATTTGTAGAGAATGGTTTGGCTTCAGCATCCTGTGAACTCTGATGTTTAGACATAGAATTTAGGATGGCTGGAAGGCTGAATAGTTGTGATGGAATACTATTTCACACATAAGGACTCCAGCTTAGTATCCACATAAGGGCCAATTATTGGAGGGCAGGCTGACAGACAAGCAAGGTGAAAGTAAGAAAGGATTTTAATCAGTAGGGATGAAGACGTTATAATTTTTAGAATTAAAGTTAAGTGTAATTTCATTAATAAAAGGTCCTTTAATCGAGGTAGAAGCTGGCAGTTTATACTGGCAAGCAACATAATAAAGGAAAAAAAAATTAAGGGATCTCTTTCCTTGCATCTGGGTAAAAATAAGAGATGACCAGTTCAGGAACCAGTTATGTAAACAGGTTAGTTTAAAGGAAAATCACATTAAAAGCTAGATTCTGAGAGAAATATGGTGACTGACTTATCACCAGAATATAATTGTTAGTCTCACTATATGTAAAACAATTTTCAGTATTTTTCTAATGGGTAAACTGTGTTGCTGTCATTAATAGTAAGCTTTTCTGCAAGAAGATTGAGAGACTGTTTGATCCAGAGTACCTAAATCCAGATTCTCGAGGAAATGCAGCAACATTATACAGGTATGGTCTTTTTATATTACTACTTCAGTTGCAAGGACAGTCCCTATATTTTGAAGTCCTGCTCTTGCTCCAGTGCTTTCTTTTTTTCTTTCTTTCTTTTTTTTTTTTTTTAATTTTTATTTTTATAATCTAGGTGTTGTTTATGTAAAAAGCTGCTAACTAAAGAAACTGAAAGAAGAATTCCTTGTGTACCAGGAAAAATCAACATAGATCAACATGGGAATATTGTCTATGTTCATATAAGGTAGTGAATATATATATTAAAAATTTTTCTTCAACTATATGATTTTCTGTGATTTTACAAAATACTATATGTTTAGGAATTATCAGATACATTACAAAATGAAGTCGTTGATATGTGAAGAGCAGTATGAAACACCTCAACCTCTTGTATTACCTAGCAAAAAAAAAAAAAGAGAGGATGGGGGGGGATTATGATGATGTGCTTCTGAAATTCATTCAGTAGTGCCGCTGCTGATTGGAATGGAAGAACTGCAGCCTCAATTACTGGGAGGGCTATTTTGGGTTGTACTGCCTTAAATAGAAAATACTTAGCTAATTCTTTCATCAAAGGGGTTTAAGATGTGTAGTTGATGGCAAATAAAGTTAAAGGCTGCATTTCTACAAGGTTTGTTATTGAATGTTAGATCCACCTCTGCCAGCAAAGAAATGCTGAAGAGTATTTTCTAGACTGACTTTATGCTGTCAGATCAAATACTCAGCCTGCTTAAAGACCACTATAAATAAACTTTGCCAGTTGTTTTTCTGTTCTAAAGTATTTGCCAGAGGAGCTTCCAGGACCTGTTCTGTATGTATGGTTGATTCATTTGGCACAAACGTTTAATTCAATTCTGTTTGTTTGATCCATGTTTGTGAACAGCTGGATTCTCTTCCTAATGATCAGTGCGTGATCAGCTGCAGTTCCCCCCCCCCCCCTTTAAGGAAGATGGAGGGAAATTAATAACAGGAGACCCTTCTCATCACATCTATTTTATTCAGAACAACCAAAGCACAGTTCAATATCAGCTCCCCAGTTAACATGTATTTAGTGTTACCTTCCACCAGTAACTCCAAAGTGTGGATTAAGTTCTGCCTAACAGTCTAAATAGAACCGAATCTTGCAACCCTGTCCTGACCTGTTAGGATCATTGGTGATTGGCCATGTAAAATTCATCAGTTGTATTACTTCACTTAAGCTGACTGTATGTAGCTGCTATGCAATTCCTAGTGTATAGATGTGCACGGTTTTAAAGTTACTCAGAGGACTATTTAGGTTCTAATTATTTGCCTTGTGGTACTTGTGACTGTTTTTCTACACAGTATCCATTTACAGTTCCTTAGGTGAAGTGATGCTGGCCACTAATGTATTCAGGCTTATGAGCTAATACAAGACTATCTTTAACAATTTAAAAATAGGTTTATATTTATTGGTCCTCTAGTGGTGTCTAGAACTAACTTCCAGTTGGAAGTACTGCTTGCTTAGTCTAGGTTAGACATATATATAATAAAAAATGGTTCGGGCCAGGGCTTAAAATTGTGGGAAAACAGTATCTGCTCTTTCTGAAGATAAAGTGCACCAGTGTAAGTTGCATATTCTCTTTTGAATTCTGAAGAGGTGTGTGTCATTTTATCACTAGGAAGGAGCAAAGTCTGTGGTTTTTAAGACTAGAAGCCTCAGATACATGTATTAATCAAAAAGACATGGTCTTATATTTTCAAACTAATTCTTAACTGAGTAATTGCTGTTGTGTTGCAGATACATAGAAACATGTTATGTTGGCTTTTAAAATAAATAGAATGACAGTACTTCTGTTGCACAGCATGTTACTTTAAAGACAGAAAATTGCAATATGACTGAACTTGTTTGTGTATGTGTATTTTTATTTCTTCTACTCTGTGTACTGGGTTTTCCTCTGTTTTATGGTTCTCCTGATTTCCAGAAGTCTTGATATTTATCTTAGCTTATAAATTTGCAGTGTATGGAGCTTGAGCTGAATCAAGCTGTAATGCTTTGTTATTAGTAAATTTAAGATGTTGTGAAAGAATATAGGCTCTTCTGTCATGGTCTGAATTTAATAATGATTGTTCCACATTGTATCATTTCTGTTCTAAATTCCTCTGTAGGCTTTTCACCAGTGGAGCATGTGGAGCATCTGCTCCTTCTCCACCTCACCTTTCTGGTGGCAGGATCAAAACAGTTATGACTGTATGCAACCTGACCTTTTGCTTTTTCAGAGACAAAACCTGGGAAGTCCATGAGTACTTAATTGGCCTTCACGAGGAATTGAAGTCTTGGCGGGATGTTTATTGGCGTCTTTGGGGGACTGTTAATTGGTTGACCTGCTCGAGATGTAACCAAGTTAGTATATTTTCACTTGTTTGTCTGTAGATGGCTTGTTGTGGGTGACTTTTGCAGGGTGAGGCAGGGATTAAAGCAGTTTGGGAAATATATAGCAGTAAAGCTTGGTATATGTTCTTTATTTGACTTCCATAGGTAATCTCACCTCTCATTATCTCTTCTTATTCTAATGTAGTCTTTCCTGTGTACTGAATTCTCCCACTGCCAGTACCATTCGCAGCCAGTTCTTTATCCAGGTGTAGCAAGTGCTCTGGGCTCAACTGGGACAGGAGTATATCCCTGTTGTAACCAAAAAGTACTTCGATTTGATCCTACAACCCTCCCAAAGGTACTTCAATACTAGATCACTTTTGAAAGAACGTAACAGGTGGCAGGGGGGTGACAGTGTGTTAGGAAAACAGATCTTTTCCAAAATAAGTATTGTAAATTGTTGCAGTGTCCCAAGGTAGGCTGGGACCTTGGGACACAAGAGTTCAAAAGTTGAACTTTTTTATTGTACTTCCTGAAATCAGTTCTTCCCATTAACTGAAGTATTTGATCTTTTGTGTATGTGTATTGCAGGGCTGCAAAGTGAGGGATCACATGGTTGATTTACCTTCAGGAAATGAAGATGGGCATGCTTTGCCATTTCAAACTACTAAAATGTTGAATGATCTGCTTCATCATAGAGATGTTATTGTTGTTCCTTTCACTAAAGATGAGAATAGGTGAGAACATTGTGTTACTGAAATAACTTGGCCTTCAACACTTAACATGTGTGCATGTTACATTTGATTTCTCTCCCATTTTAAAATGGGACGTAGGAATCTTTAAAGGTAACTTGGTTTTGATTGTTTAGTTGGAAATTGGGAAGAAAGGAACAAGTACTTTTTCCTTTTACATTTCAAGCAGACATTTAGAAATTCATCCTCCATAAGCATTTACTTCTATCTTTATATTTTAATGAATTGTTATCAAAATGTTATGTGGCTGACTTGGAGGTCTGTCATCTTGATACATGAGGAATAAAGAGAAACTGATTCTAAAGTCGTGAAATAGAAAAATTTATTTTCATTTCATATCTTTCTCTTTAAGTGATTCTGGTATTGGGCTCTGTGATGAAAAAGGCATTGAATGTGATGTGCTTGTAGAACCAAATACGCCGTGGGGTCCAAAAACTGGAGAAATCAATGCTGTGAGTGCTAATGTTGGGGGTTTTCTTCCCCTTTTGTTGTGATAATGAGGATTCTTACACGAGTACTTTGAAGAATTCATTAGGCAACTTTTAATAAAAACAAAACCCATGCATTGTTGGAGGAGGAAGTGTACTGCTGAGCATTGCAGGATAGCGCAGGATAGCATAGGCTAGCGTAGGTACAAAATATCTGGTTGGTGAAAAGGCAAAACTTTTACCATGTCTGCTGGAAATATTTCTGTATATCAGAGGCAATTCTCCATATGTCTGTGCTTCCCACCCCGTTCTTAAACTGATGATATTTAAGGATCCAGTCATACTTTAAAATACATCAGGTGGCAAATACTTGAGTAATTGCTGCCTTTGTTTTGTCTGCTGATGTATCTGGGTATGTCCACATGACATTTGCAAGTCTATAAATGAAGAACAGTAACTTGGGTTGTGTTCTGCTTGGGGTTTTTTTGTTGTTGGTTGGTTGGTTTGTTTTTTCCCCAAGATGTGAAAGATTTTACTTTTCCAGAGCTATGATGCATGTATGTTACTATGTGTATGTCAAGTCAACAGAGATACTTTCTAAGGCAAGTTTAAGGAGACTGTTTATAATACTACGTCTGGTTTAAAGAGAGCTTTCATGCGAAGATAAGTTTTTGAACTTCTGCACCCATCGTGGAACTTCTGGTAACTTGACAATCCTGATGGTAGCACAATGCTGCTGATTCCATGAGAATTTCAAACAGGATCAGAAGCTCTCCCGTGATAAATGTGGGAGGCTGTTTAAATTTAACTCCATAACAATCTGGTACATAATTCCCCCTTCCTGTCCTGGACTGCTTTTTTTTTTTTTTTTTAATTAAAATCAGATGTAAATATTTTTAGTGCTAAGGTTAGGCACCTTAAAACATGACTCTGAATTCACTGCATTTAATTGGTCAGTGGCTCACAACCTCTTTGAGGTTAGTCATTCCACCAAATATAAAGACGGGAGGAGGCCTTCTAGGAGTTAACAGTGTAGATTGCTGTACTATAACATACCACTCCTATTTTTAGAATTCCACTCTTTTTTAATTCTTATTTTTATTAGTTCTTTAACTTATATGCCTTTCTCTCTCTTTCTGTGACTACAGTTTCTTTCTCTGAAGAACTGTACTTTACAGCTGGTTAGTAAAATATTTTGTTCATAATTTTAAATATTTGCTCTTCTGCACTGGCAGAGAACTAGCTTTGTTTTTTGTCTTATTTTCTAATTAATTTGGTGGAAAATGTATTTTCTTACTTTAATTTGGAAGTTGCAGTATAGCAATTCTTTTTACAAGAAAGTAAAAAGTATGTGTGAAGTACTATTTTACCTGAATAAAAATTAAAAATTCCTTTTAAATGTTTTTATAAATGACAACAAACAGTAGACCAGCACTGCATGCATCAGTTCTTAATAGCTTGTTAGGCTGACAGAAATGTAAATCATGGAAATCAGAGTTGAGGGCCCAGCCAAATGCATAGAAGGGGGAGTCATTCTTCCAGTAGCATAGGTTGTCACATGATTTCTATTTTTGTATGTAAATGCTAGAGAGCAGTAGTTTACCTCTGTCACTCTTGAGGATTTGTGTTGCAGTCTGATGTTCCTAGTGTCCTATACTAAGAGTGTTCTTCTTGCAAAAACATGTTTCCTAAACTTTTTGAACTTGCAGTCCATGTTAAGCTTCATCATTTCTCATGGATTACTAGGCACTCATTATCACTTATTTTGAAAGATATCTGTGTATATTCAAACAACGTAAACATCCCATTCCTTAATATTTTCAATATTATTTAATATTAAATATTATTTAATATTTTCATTATTTCATGCTGATCAGCACAGAACTATTCACTGTGACCCCATCTGTTGCAATATTGGAGCCTGTAGTTTATGATGATGTACAAGAGATAGAAGGAAAAAAAATTTTTTAGGTATTAGGGTGAGTTCACAAAAAAAAACAACCAGATATTCCAGACCAACTTGCAATAAATTATTAATGTAGATAGCTCTGGTGTACATAATCTGTGTGCATTTGTAGTGCACTGTGATATGCATGCTTTGTGGTATTTAATTACTGAGTATCTCAGCAATTTCAGGCAGTTTACAAGATGCAGCAAGCCTCAATATAACCATCCGTAAACTTGTCATTTACTGTATTCTATGATTATGTGGCTAGTTCAGACATTTGCTACTATAGCATCTTATTAATTAGAAAAATAATATAGCCAGAAATAAATTGGATATTAAACACTGAAGCATACAATAATACAGGTTGGAAGGGATATCTGATAGTCATCTTATGTATTTCTTCCCACTCTCAAAGCAGGGCCAGCTTCAAAGTTAGATTCAACTTCAAAACTATACCACTTTGCTCAGGGTCATATCCAATGAAATCTTGAGTATCTCTGAAGATGGAGATTCTACAGCCTCTCTGGGCAACCTCTTACAATGTTTGACCACTTAGAAGAAACATAAATAAAAATATTTATCAAAACATTCTAAGCAAAGTTTTGAAATTACTTTCTCAATGTTTGAGAATCATGTTGTCAGACCTAACTGTGTGCAGTTATGTCACTGAGATGTAGAACTACTTTTGAAGTCAGCTCCTTTGAGACATATTTAATGTATCACTTAATAAGAATCGAGCCTCACTTATAATCTGTGGTACTTTCCTCCTGTTGACTAGAAACAGCAATCGTTGTTATCTGAAGAAGAGGAGTATACTACTGGCTCAGAGGTCACTGAGGATGAAGTGGGGGATGAAGAAGAAGTATGCAGGAAACCAGGTACAACAAGTCTCTACAGTCATCCTCCCTGCAATTTAGAGATAGGGATTCAAGGCAGCAGAATTATTATGTAAGCAAATTTTAAACGTTAGGCATTTTAAAAATAAAAACTAATGTTACTTGAATTTTATTTCTAGTTTTCCTGTGTTTAGATATAAATTACTTCACTGCTCAGTGCCATCAAAAATCATTGGCAAATGAGGAAAGCTGCAACTATTCATGTTTGAGATGTCTTCAGAGTTGATAAAGATTTGGCAGAAAACACTATCAAATTACTTTTATGTTACTTTTATGAAGTTTCACGTAGATATACGTTGGAAGAAAAGGCAGTAGCTACACAATTATATTTTTGCTTGCCCGCCTCCCCCCCCCCCCCCCCCGAATATTCTTCTGATTATATAGTGGAATGACTGGTGAATGTGGCTAGAATTGTGTCTGCATTGATAATAAGTTCTATATGATCTAAAAAGATTTTCGTGGGTTTTTTGTTGTTGTTTTATTTTAATATGATAAGGGATTTAGGAATATGGAAAGCCAAAAAGCAGTTTCTCCTTTCCACCCTACTAACGAGTCATTTGAACAGAGGCAGTTCTTTTTGTCTTGACTCAAAGGGGTTGGAGTGTACCAGTTTGTTTTTAAAAAAAAAAAAAAAAAAAAAGTTGAATGAAAATTTTTGTAGTTTGAATTTAAACTTCTTTGGTCTGATATCACTCAGAGTTTGTGGATTGAATTAATATGGTCAAAGATGTAGCTTTTATGTGCACTTTTAATTTCACAACAGAAAAGTTGTGCTGTTATGTGTGACCACTCTGCATTTTAAATATGTACTTGAGTTCCTGAATACTTCTTATAGAAAAAGTGTTTGAGTAATCTGCATGTATTAGCATGACTGCAACACTAACAACAGGAAAATAGCCTGTTCATTTACTCTGTAAAGGAATAGAGGGGAAAAAATTCTTTTGTAGCTGTGTAGTTGAGAAAACCCAAGTATCTGTGATGGTATGAGTAGATGTTTCTTCAATTAGCAGGGAGAAAGGAGAAATTAAAGAAATCCTACAAGCACCCAAAGAAAATGATTTCTTCCCCAAGTGTTCAGAAAAAGGAGAAGCCTTCTGATAAGGTAAAATCATAGCTGTGAAGCTAGCCTCTCTGGTTGGGTTGAGTAATGAGGAATTCTTTTAAGTTTTGGACTTGATGTTAAAACATACTTAACGTGTTTTTTTTCTTTGATAGTCAAGTTCCCGAGATGCATCTCCATTCATGTAAGTAATTTTCAAAGTCCTTGAGAACATATTCTAGTATATCCCTTTTTGTGAACTGTTACTGATAACATGCTGTGCATCTTTCTTTTCTAACCAGTGTGAGTATGCAGCAGAACAAATGGGATCCCTCAAGGTCACTAAGATTCAACCAAGATGCTCAAAGAGAAGATGGTCTGTTCTTGCATGAGTTTAGCTTTCATAAAGTTAATATTATGCAAAGAAAACTATTAATTCATATAAGAAATGGCTAATTTTCTTAAAATATAGCTGCTTAGAAACTTTTAGGTTGAATTTGATCTCAGAAACAGCAATGGGGCTTTGGGTGGGTGTTTTTTTATACTTGCTCCTCGTTTGGAAAAGAACAGATTTCAACTAGGCTAATTGTTAGTAATCAGTTGTATCCAAACCCCACAGCAATCTCAGACTCCTCCAAACTGTACAAAAATATTTGTGCAGCTAGAACTCCTTCTGAAAATGTTACATTAGGATTTGATTGGCATTTACTAGCAATCTCATCTATTCTACAGGGGAAAAAATGTTTGTGGTAGGAAAACGGAAAGAAAATCCACCATATAAAACTATACATTGTAGTCTTGCACACAGATTGAAAAATAAATGGGCAGTATTGGGCCTGCTGTCTTGGAAAATACTGGAAAGGAGTTCAAAGTTTACAGGAGAAAAAGAAAAAATGCATTATAAGTGTATGTTAGCGCAGTTTATGTTCTTTATTTGGAATGTCAGCACATAACCTACAGAGATTATAGTTGTGTCGTCTGATGACTGTATAAGTATGTGAATAATTTTTCCTGCATCCCTGTGCCATTTGTTGTCTGTGTAGATAAACACAGATAAACATTAACTTCTACCTCTTTCCCAGTCTTTCTGACTAAAAATATTCAGAATTCTATTCATTTATTCCACCTTTTTTAATCTCTTCTGAGACTCATGTGCATTTTTGCTGTTTTGAAAACCTCTGCCTCAAAATCATTCCCATAGATTTTGATCTCAGTGTAATGCCTCAGGCTGATTCTAGTATCTGCCAGGAACACTGCTGAAGCTACGTTATGCGTCAGGATCTAGGATCTTGGTTGTTCAAGATTTTTGTATGAGCTGAAAAAGCTAATTTTACAAATACAGTATCACTAAGTGTGCATCTAATTCTTCTCCCTTTGTATTCAGTAGCAAGGAAAACCTCTGTTCTAAATATTCTTTCTTATTTCTGACAGATCAGAGAAGAATGTCTGAGATTACAGGGCACTTAATAAAAATGAGACTGGGAGACCTTGATCGAGTCAAGTCAAAAGACAGCAAAGAAGTAAGATTTGTCCTGTCACAATGTAATGTTTATGGAATCGAAGTGAGCCTTGGTTAACAAAAATATGTAAAACAAATGAAAATACCATCTATTCAATTCTTAAGCTAAAGAACTGAATCTTATCAATCTTCATTTTGTTCCAAGCATGATTTTTTGGGGGAAATGAGTTTAAAATAACGTTGGAAGTTCACTGCCCTTAAAAACTGCCGTGGAAAATAGGATAAGTTTGAAAGGTTTCAGTACTGCGTTGTGATAATGAAACAAACTATGCCATAGGTTCTGCTGAATATTAGTGATTTTTATGAAAAGTCACTGATTAAATCAGAATAATGTCAAAAATTGATTTTTTTTTTCTGGATTCCAGTATGCAGGAGGCATTTATTCTAGACTTGAAGCTCAGATAAAGGCCTCAGCGCAGGTCAGTGCGCGGCAAAACAATGCTGAGAAGAATGCCAGGTAAGATTTTAAAACAAAAGCAGAACATGGATTTCGGGTGGCAGTGGTGGTGGGCGTTTAAAGAAAAACATGCCTCGTTTCATACACTTTTTTTGAATCGGTGTCAGTTCCAGCAGGTTAATCATATATGGTGTGAAAGCTTCCTTTGTCACATTAAACTAGAGCTAAGAGAATGAAACTCTTGTACCCATGCTGGAAGAACTGCTTTATAGCTTCTATGTTTGAAGGTTGACTGCTGCTCCGATATAATTTTTTGCAAAATTATGGATAACTGGAAAAGTGTTAGCCAAGATTCTTTAGCCTATTCTTTGGCCTCCTTCCAAAAACAAAACCAAAAAACCACACACACCAAAAACCTACATTAGTGCATATTGGTCTTCTACACCTTAAATGGATAAAACAAAAATGAACTGAGAAGCTGGCACACCGTGTGCAGTTGTAGAGCCTACAACTGGTTATAATTTGGCCAGCAGGTGAGCCTCTTGAGCTGAAGTTTGTAGTGGAGTTGCTGACCAACTTCTAAAGGATGAGCTGGAAGCTTCAAATACACTGTTAGAGGAATTTCTCACAGGTCTTATTTCTGTCAAAAAAAAAATGCATGTGACTTTTTTTTCTGTAGCATTAGTGATGTCAAGTTATTTGACATCACAGTTCTTTCAGCTGTGTACCATTGTATGAATATGTAGTTTGTGGGTACAGGTATCCTGGCAGAAAGGTAACTTTCTCAGTAATAGATTTTGAGAATGATATTTTTTTTTTTCCCCCCTCCTTCTCTCAGAAGACATTTTAACATAAAAGTAATTTCAAACAAATACCGTACTAGAGAGCTGACTGGACAATAGTTTAAAATTCTAGCATTAATAATGTACATACATTTCTTATGTGTTCTTAATCCAGGTCAAAGTCCCGTTTCGGTCAAGGCCGCCCAACATAAGGACTCACGAAAAAACTTTAACTAGAATTCATTACTGCTTCCTGAAACTGTACTGCACTCTGACAAACGGAGAATGCACAGCTCTGAAAGCTTTCCAGTGACTTATTTATTACTTTAAGCCTTGTAAATTATTTTGTGCGATAAATGAATGCAAATCCAATAAGATCTGTACTTATTTTAATTGTAAATATACTATTTCTTAAATTTAAATTTAATTGCTTTTTTTAGGTAATTGTGTTAAGTTGCATAGAAAATATTTTATAAATCTACAAAGTTAAATTATCAGACTAACTTTATTTATGGGGAAGACATAAATATGCCTTTAAGTATGCTAGAAATACTGAAAAGGAAAAAGCAAGACTACTGAATTCTGAATACAGTCAGCAGCATTAACACAAGTTGCCTAGTGTGTTTATATTGTGTAGTGTTTGATGGTACATTTTAGGTCAGTCCTCTGGGGATTTGCATTTAAAGTCTGTGACAATACCTGTGACTTAGACTAGTTTAAGCAAAATTTTAATGCAGTTCTGAGGCTTCCTTCTGTATATCACACAACTCCCATTCGTGTGAAGGTGGGTAGCAGGTAGAGACTAGACCTCCAAAGATTATATCATTATTATTATTATTATTATATCATATATATGATGATGCAGTGTTGCATCTTGCACGTGAAACGCTTGCTTTACTTGCATGTGAAATTAATATTCCCATTCCATATCTGACTCCTCTTGCACAATACAGTGTTTTGTTCCCATCTATTATCCAGACCTTAGGACATAAAGCAGTTCTATCTCTTAATGATGCTATGCCACTAAATTTCCGAGCAGATATGCTATTAATTCTGCATCTTTCAATGGCGATGTATCATTATGAAGATTTGTGCATGTAGATCTTTTGGGTCTAGTTACTTTCTGAAACCTGCCTGAATAATACTGTTTAGAAGTCAGATGCACTTTCAAGTTCTGTATTTGGAGCAATAGAATACAAGTTTGTCTACATGTAAAATCCAGGGCTACCAAAATGAAATAACTTGCCTAGAAATATGTTGCATATTAGAAAAGAAAATGGCAATAATGGCAATAATAATGGCTGAATTTGAGTAAACACATTCTGACTTTTTGAAACAGGTAGAAAGAGCGCTCAGGGAAAGCTTATTCCAGGCCACGGCTGTACAATAAATTGTGAGTTTGGAATGAAGTCAGCAAGATCCTGGGTGGGAGGGTGGGGTGGGGTGTGGTAAGGAGAGGGAGATCATTGTTTAAATGCACTCTTCTCTCCATTCAGGCTTTTTTTGTCTGTTTTGTTTCTTGAGGATTTTCAGTAGGCATTAGAAGACTAGGAGAGCAATACTTGAAAATACTGCTTTCAAGGTGGAAGATTTTTACTGAAACAATTAAAAATGAATGTTGTTTATTGTGTGTTTTGTCCAATACTACAGCAGATTCAGAGCCCAATGAAACCAACAGGCAAAACTGGATTTCAATGCCTTTGATTTCAGGCAGGAGTGGTAACTTTGCAGGAGTGCTTTAATATGTATCAAATAAATAAGGCTTTATTAATGCCTCAGGCCTGTTTGCAAGTAGTAATTCAGTTTTAAGCACTTATAGTAAACATTGGAAAACTGATTGTTGTTTCTTGAAAGCGGAAGTATTACAAAATCCAGTGGGTACAAAAATGCAGTAGAATAAGTGTTTTGCTACGATTTTGTGACTTCTGATAGAGGATTGTTCCAAATTCCCATGGTGAACTTTGCTATGGAAGTTGCAGGCTGCATGTATGTGTGTTTAGTTTTTGTAGAAGTACTGACTAGAAGAGAAGGGAAAATTCCACTGGTTTTGTTCTGTGGGAAAGTGCCAGTTCTACATGCCAGTATTGTTTTATTCAAAAACATTTTTGAGCGTGTAATAATAACATACATGATGTTTCTATCTTTTTTTTCCCCTTGCCAACCACCTTGAATTTTTATCTTGTATTACTTTTGAAAATTTGTCTTGGTTTAATGGAAATAAATGTTATTAATTTAAGAAGTGTATGAGTTTTTTTGTAGATAATTGTAAGAACTAAGTAACTGCGTAAATGTTGTTTGATAGTCTCAATCATGCATGTGTCTTTGTGATTAAATTGCAGCATCACGGTACAGGCTTTTTATCTGTCAAGAACAGAATACCATTGAATGCAGAGCTACTCCAAATCTATGAGAACTTAAAAGAATTTTTATCTGCATTGAATTTTGAAGCTGGATTAAAAGTTCATGAGTGAGCTGCCCTACAAATGACCCAAGTATGCGAAATGTCAAACTAAGCTATGTTAAAAACATGTTTAACTTTGCCTTCTGCTGTCACAGTGCTCATCATACCATTTAAACCGTCTGTTAAATCTATGAATAGGATTAGTTTCCATGATTCTCTTTCTAGAAATTGCTCTATGGATGTCCTGCATATGTCCAGTTGGTATACTGGGAAGGCTACAGTGTATGTCCTGCTGTCACATGTGTGTTTAACTTGCTGCACTGTGGAGCTGTTGTCTGTTTGCTTGATGTCCAGAAATCTTGGAGAAAGCGCCAAAGTTTTAAATTCAGTGATGGCTCCAAGAGAAAAAGACAACATGCTAGGAGAAATGTGGGTATATGGTTGCCCCAGTCTGTAAACATAGAACTGTGAATAGCATGGGCATATTTCATGTGACTAAGAGGAGAATTCTCTTTGCCATAAGGGAACTGATGCTTTTTAAAAACATTGTTTCCTATTCTTGTTGAGTGTACAGACATACTATGTTGTGTTGGGAAACTGCTCCTGTGCATCAGATGCTTGCTTGAGCAATTACATGAAGTTCCCTGCTTCTGTTTAGGCACCTCCCTCTCCACTCTAGGCAAATGTAAAACCTTAAGTTATTACTGATGTCTAAGAGAGCAGTATACATAGACATATACTGAAGACATTCCTCCTGCAGCTGTTCTTGATGAAATCTAATCTGTATGAATTGTACCACTGTGTTCTGAGGGGTTTTTTTCCCTCTATTTCTTAATAATTAGGAAGTAAAGAAGATGGCACTGATGTTAAATTTATCTTATTACAGGAATAGGTCAGATCTACTGTTGAATCCCCTATTGGCTATATCTATAAATAAAATCAGCCAAAGGCTTTTCTAGGTTTGAGGCCAAGTGACAGCACAGAATGGCTGTGTCCCTGAGGTTAATGTCTCGTCCTGTCTTTGAGCATCATGATGGTGAAGGTCGATGGAACCATCAGCCAGTCTGAAGGCTACAGCAACTGACAAAGTTGCACAGGACTGCATGAGCTCCTCTACTTTGGGAATCATAAGGGCTTTGAATACTAATTCGATAAGTGCTGCTCCTGTTGCAAGTGCGCAGCATCCTCAGTTTGGGGAGGACTGTGCATTCCCACAGAGCCCTTAGTAGATGCCTGTCACTTGTCAGTCTGGTGTGGGAGAAGCGTGTGTCCTGCTGTCTTCCGTTGTTGTGCCCTGCATGCTCAGCAAGCAATGCTGTCGTCAGTGACATAGCTGGATGCTGGGCTAATACATTCTGGTTAATGGTGTTCAATGTCGGTTGAAAAAATTAGTTTCCACCACCCCACCCTTATTGGGTTGTATTCTTGACTGTTCTATAGCTTGTTTGGTGTTACAATTTATCTCACCTTAAATGCGTGTCTCCACCCCCCTCTTTCCCTGTGTGCTAAGTGTAGAGAACAAATGAACTTCATCTGAACTCTGTTGTGGGCCTGATTCCATTAGGGGCCACAGGTGGCAATGGCTGAGGCTGTCATGATGCTTCTTTGTTTGGGCTTGGAGTGCTGATCCCCAAGAACAACAACCGAGCAGGAAGGAAGAATCCTGCATGGTAGCCTTGGACTAGGACCCTCCCAGGTAAACAGCAGTTACAGCTTCTAAAGAGCAGGTAACAGCCTTGCGCTGCATCCGAGCAGCAGTTTTCATTCTATGCCTGCTTGTAGGTGACCTTTAACTTACATTTGGTTTTACACTGGGTTTGTGTACACTAATGGCCTACCTCCTTCAGCTTCTAGGCTGCCTCCCCATAGATAATGAGGGAGAATCTTTCTGGAGTTTTATCCTCTAAGGTCTCATGCCACTTCTCATCACTGAGCTTCCAGCTCTCTGGGATGCTTCTTGCTAACAGAGGTCCCAGAAAACGAAGCTGCTTTGCCTTCACTGTGGTTTGGAATATCCAGAAGTAGATCTTCATTAGTGGATTAAGATTCCAGCACATAAATAGTTCCATTGGTTAAGAGGATTGGTTGCTGGAAGAACTTTTTGGTACAAATATCAGCTTAGGTAGCCTCTGGCCTGTCTATGATAGCGTAAAGGTATGTGATGCTGTTCAGTGAACAAGATCAGGAAACTTCTCTTCCTTTTTCTTCTTCCCAGGAGGTATTTCGTGCACAGACCCGTCTTCTGTATTTTGCCACATAAACTTGCTAAGGCCTGGCCATCATGGACACGGGGAACAATCAGACAGGAGGAAAAATAACTGCCTGAGATTGGGTCTAGTAATAATGATACTGAATGCATCATCATGGCTGGATGTGGCCTTTGTTCAAAAGATGGTGCCCATGATTGAACTTCTTTTAATATTTTTTTAATCTCTTCTGCTTGAATTGCTCCCACATTTCCATTTCAATTATTTAATGCTAGGAAAGCACAATGATAATTTTATTTTTAGTTATTATATGCAATTTTTTTATATTTTGCATTTTCATTCAAACTATAGTAATTACTTTAGTATCCATGGTGACAAAACATGCTAGCACAAACATGAAAAGACCTTGGTCTGGCAGCAGTTTCCTTGCTGCGTAATCAGTCACTCCTTTGAATTAAAGGTGTATTTACCTCCAAATGATTGAAACGAATTGCATGATTGGCTGCATCATTTGTAGTCTTTGAAAGTACTCTGCAAGCTTTTAGTGTCTTTTTTTTTTTTTTTTGAGGGAACTTCATGGAAGTAAAATGTTTTAACTGTAAGC